TTCTCCTGCTCATGAGCTAGAACTTCTCTCTGAGCCCCAGAGTCCCACTTCCTTGGCTAATTTTGTCCTCCCCACCCCCAGCTCTGTTGAGGTTAGAGGGGGCTCCCCTCCAGTGTAGATAGTTCATGTTTACACTGGACGGGGTTTGAGGGTCCTCACAGGGAGCTTCTCTCAGGGCTCCAGTGCTTTGTCGAGAGTGAATGAGTCTTCATTTCTTTCAAAATAAATGCTTTTATTGGAGATGAATCTGGTGGGGAAATTAACCAAGCCCAAGAGAGTTACTATGGTTTAGAAATCAGCAGGAGGACCGGTGCAGTGGCTCATGCCTCTAATCCCAGCACTTTCGAAGACTGAGGCAGGCAGATCACTTGAGGTCAGGAGTTTGAGACCAGACTGGCCAACATGGTGAAACCCCATGTCTACTAAAAATACAAAAATTAGTCAGGCTTGGTGGCAGGCACCTGTAATCACAGCTACTAGGGAGGCTGAGACAGGAAGAATTGCTTGAACCCAGAAGGCAGAAGTTGCAGTGAGCCGAGATTGCACCACTGCACTCTGACCTGGGTGACAGAGCAAGAGCAAGACTCCATCTCAAAAAAAAAAATTATATATATATATATATATATATATATATGAATAGAAGCCAGGAGGAATTACACGAGATGCCTTTCATCATTATCTGGAAAGTTCTGGAAGTTCCTCCTTAACTCACATTCTGTAAGACTCCTTGGTTCTGACATGTGCATTAGAATCACTTGGGGAACTTTGAGTGTGATACCAGGGAGGGGGCTCCATCCTCAGACCTTCTGAATGAACTGGTCTGAGATGCGGTCTTTGAAGAGCTCCTGAGAGTTGAAGACCTCTCTGTGCAGTGAACCCTTCCTCTCTTGCCAAATGCCCTGTATTTCCAAATTGTTTCGTGTTCTAGGAGCCTTCCAGCCAGGAATCTGTTCAGTAGATTTCAAACTCGTCATGATCTAAGCTGTCTTTGGGTTTATTTTAACCCTGAAGATGGGCTGATAGTGGATCTTTGCCTTCCTGTTCAACTCAGCCATGATTCATGGAACATTTTTGAGCTTCTGGAAATGCAAAGATGAAAATTTCCTCTGCCCTCAAGGAGAATATAATCTAGTGGGGAAAATGGCTATGCACAAACATGGCCATTTATTTGTTCATTGAAAATTCAGGCATTTGAAGGCCGAGCGCAGTGGCTCACGCATATAATCCCAGCACTTTGGGAGGCTGAGGTGGGTGGATCACCTGAGGTCAGGAGTTCGAGACCAGCCTGGCCAACATGGTGAAACCTCGTCTCTACTAAAAATACAAACAATAGCCAGGCATGGTGGTGGGTGCCTGTAATCCCAGCTACTTGGGAGGCTGAAGCAGGAGAATCACTTGAACCTGGGAGGTGGAGGCTGCAGTGAGCCAAGGTCACACCACTGCACTCCAGCCTGGGCAACAGACACTCTGTCTTAAAAAAAAAAAAAGAAAAAAGAAAAAAGAAAATACAGGCATTTGTTGTGCTATGTGTTTGGGGTACAACAAGCTTGAGACAGGGATGCAGTCATGGCCATGGTCTCCTGGCCCTCACAGCCTGGTAGGAAAAGCGGGCCATCGGGCACTGAAGGGAGGGGAAGTAGTTACTGGAGATGAGAACAGGGGACCTAACTGTCATGTAAGACAGGATGTGGCATGTGTTACATTAGAAGCACAAGCTTACTAAAAAAGCTTCTGCACAGCAAAAGCAATAATCAACAGAGTGAACAGACAAGCTGCAGAATGGGAGAAAATATTTGCAAACTATGCATCTCACAAAGGACTAATATTTATAATCTACAAGGAACTCAAACAACTCGACAGCAACAAAAGACAAATAACCCCATTAAAAGGTGGACAAAGGACATGAACAGATATCTTGTAAAAGGAGACGTACAGGTGACCAACAAACGTGAAGAATGCTCAACATCGCTCATCATCAGAGATATGCAAATGGAAACCACAGAGAGACACTGTCTCACACCAGTCAGGATGACTATTAGTAAAAAGGCAAAAAAGCACAGATGTTGGCCAGGATGTGGAGAAAAGGGAACGCTTGTACCGTGTGGTGGAAGGTAAACTGGTACAACCTCCATGAAAACAGTAGGGAGATTTCTCAAAGAACTAAAAATAGTCCTACCATTCGATCCAGCCACCCCATGACTGATGTATACTCGAAGGAAAAGAAATCATTATATCAAAAAGATAACTGCATCCATATTGCAGCACTATTCACAGTAGCAAAGGAAAAAGGCTATCCAGAACAGATGAATGGATAAAGGAACTATTTTACACACACACACACACACACACACACACACGCGCGCGCGAGCGACTACTCAGCCATATAAAAGAATGAAATCATGTCTTTTGCAGCAACATGAACGGAACAGTTATCTTAGGTGAAATAACTCAGACACAGAAAGTCAAATACTGCATGTTCTCCTTTATAAGTGGGAGATACCTAATATGTACACAATCACATAGAGAGTCTCAGAAGGGTGGGAGAGGGAGGGAGAGGGATGAGAAGTTACTTAATGGATACAATGTACACTATTTGGGTGATGACTACACTAAAATCCCAGACTTCACCAGGATGCAATATATCCATGTAACAAACTGCACCTGTACTCCCTCGATCGATTTATCTATCTATCCATCCATCTATCTATTATCTATTGATCGATCAATCTACAGTCTAATCTATCATCTGTCAGTCTATCTTATCTATCATCTATCAATCTACCATCTAGATTATCTATCTATACAATCTATCGTCTATCTTATCTATCGTCTATCAATCATCTATCCATCCTTTCTGTCTCTATCTTTCCATCCACCCATTCTTTCTATCTAAATGTCTATCTTTCCATCCACCGGTCCCATCTGTCTATCTATCTATCTATCTATCTATCTATTTATCTATCTTATATCTATCTATCAATCATGAGCTCAGTTGGGCACAGTGGCTCGTGCCTGCAGTCCCAGCACTTTGGGAGGCTGAGGCAGGTGGATAATTTCAGGTCAGGAGTGCGAGACCAGCCTGGCCAACATGGTGAAACCCTGTCTCTGCTAAAAATACAAAAAAAAAAAAAAAAAAAAAAAAAAAAAGCCAGACTTGGTTGGTGGCATGTGCCTGTAACCATAGCCACTTGGGAGGCTGAGGCACAGGAATCACTTGAACCCAGGAGGCGGAGGTTGCAGTGAGCTGAGATCCTGCCACTGCACTCCAGCCGGGATGACAGAATGAGACCCCCGTCTCCAAAAAAAAAAAAAAAAAAAAAAAGGAAAGAAAGAAAGAAAGAAAAAAAAAAAAACCACCAGCTCAAGAAGTTGGGAACACACACACACGGGTAGACACATGGGTAGAAATCCTGCATCTCTGAGTTGAGCCTGGACAGATGGCGCTATTGAGAGATGGAGGGATGAGGAGGAGCATATGGGCAGAAGGAACCACAGCAGCAAAAGCAGTGACAAGCCACTGCACCCGGGACAATGGCTATAATTAGAGAAACAAAAGAAATCGAAAACAACAAGTGCTGACGATGATGTGGAGAAATTAGAATCCTCATACATTGCTGATGAGAATAAAATACAGTGCAGTCGCTGTGGAAAATGCTTTGGCAGTTCCTCAAAAAGTTAAACATAAAATTATCATATGATCTAGCATATCCACCCCTAGGTCTATACCCAAAATAGTGGAAAACAGGATATTCAGACAGATACTTGAACACAAATGTTCATAGCGCTACTCACAATAGCCAAAAGATGAAAATAGTCCAAATGTCCATCGAGGGATGGACGGATGAACAAGCGTGGGCTATCCATACAACGGAATATTACTTGGCTGTAAAAAGGAGCAAAGTACTGACAGGATACAACATGGATGAACGTTGAAAACTTTATACTAAGTCAAAGCAGCCAGACATAAAAGGTGACCTACTGTGTATGACATCATCAGAGGAAATGTCTAGAATAGGCAAATCCACGGAGATGAAAAGTAGACTTGTGGTTGCCAGGGTCTGGGTGCAGGGGAGGAAGCGGAGACACTGCTCAGTAGGCTGAGATACTTTACTTCGGAGTCACTGCAATGTTTTGGAACTAGGGAAAGCTGGTGCTTGTACAACACTGTGAATATACTAAAAACCACTGAATTCTACCCTTTCATACAATTCATTTTTTTATTATGGGAATTTCTTGAGACAGATTCTAACTCTATCACCTTCCACCTCCTGGGTTCAAGTAATTCTCCTGCCTCAGCCTCCTGAGTAGCTGAGATTACAGACACGCACCACCAAGCATGCCCGGCTAATTTTTGTATTTTTAGTAGAGATGGGGATTTTGCCATTTTGGCAAGGCTAGTCCTGAGCTCCCGCCCGCGTCGGCCTCCTAAAGTGCTGGGATTACAGGCATGAGCCACTGAGCCTGGCCCCACCTAAATAATTTTTTTTTAAAGCACAGGGAGGTGCAGTCTGTAGGGGAAGAACTGATATTAGAGTAGGGAGCTAGGCAGACAGAGCAGGGCAGGAAAGGGTCCCCAACCCCACCCACAGGAATGTCAGGTGGTTGTTAAACTGTCTCTCTGAAATAATAATTGGGGCCCGCGTGAGGTGGCTCACACCTATAATCCTAGCACTTTGGGAGGCCAAGGCAGGCAGATCACCTGAGGTCAGGAGTTTGAGATCAACCTGACCAACATGGAGAAACCCCATCTCTATTAAAAATACAAAATTAGCCAGGTATGGTGTCGCATGCCTGTAATCCCAGGTACTCAGGAGTCTGAGGCAGGAGAATCACTTGAACTTGGGAGATGGAGGTTGTGGTGAGCTGAGCCTGAGACATTGCACTCAGCCTAGGCAATAAGAGCAAAACTCCATCTCAAAATAATAATAATAATAATAATAATAATAATTGGGTCCGGTGTGGTGGCTCACACCTGTAATCCCAGCACTTTGGGAGGCCAAGGCAGGTGAGTCACCTGTGGTCAGGAGTTAGAGACCAGCCTGGCCAACATGGTGAAACCCCATCTCTACTAAAAATACAGAAATCAGCCAGGCATGATGGTGGGTGCCTGTAATCCCAGCTACTCAGGAGGCTGAGGCAGGGGAATCACTTGAACCTGGGAGGCAGAGGTTATAGTGAGCCGAGGTCGTGTGCCATTGCACTCCAGCCTGGGTGACAGAGCGAGACTCCTTGCCTAAATAAATAAATAGAATAAAAACTGGTCACAGCTGGCGCCGGGGAAAGGCAGGCTCCCAATAGATAGAAAACACCTGGGGCTGGTGAGAGCCACTTCTGGATAAGATCTCGGCAGTTGGGCGAGTGGGCTCAAGCGTGTGCACAAGAGGGCACAATGGCAGGGTTTAAATGATACAAGACCTTCCTCTAGCAACACTCGACTGGTAGGGGAAGAATGCCTCAAACGAGCATGCGCATAACTTCAGTAAACAGACTGTGCATGTGTCCCCTCCTAAGTGCCAAAAGCCCCCTGCTCACGTGGACAGCCCACCCCAAGGAAGAATTAGGAAGAAGAAATGGACACCCAGGGACCATGCCAATGTATAAAACCCCAGGTCAAAGGCTGGACAACACCCTTGGGTCTCTCAAGTCACCCCCTTGGTCTTCTTCCAAGTGCACTTCCTTTTGTTCCTGCTCTCAAACTTTTTAATAAACTTTTACTCCTGCTCTAAAACTTGCCCTGGACTTTCACTCTGCCTTATGCCCCTTGGCTGAATTCTTTCCTCCGAGGAGGTAAGAATCAAGTTGCTGCAGGCCCATATGGATTTAGTGCTGCTCACAATGATGGTAGATGGATTTTTGAGATTGACTTTGGTATGAGATGAGTGAGTAGGGCATAACCTTGAAAATGAGGATCGAGGCTATTTGTAGATTTCTTAAGTGCCGTGGTAAAGACTTCCACTTTATTCGGTGGCCAAGGGGCTCCCTTTGCTTTCTCCCATGTACTCAGTGGCCTAGGGCAAGGGTTGACACACTTTTCCTAGAAAGGAGCAGATAGTAAATATTTTCAGCTTTTCAGGACACATGGTCTCTGCTGCAACTACAGCCAGCCCTCTCTATCCTCAGCTTCCAAATCCAAGGATTCAACCAATTGCAGATAAAAAATATCAAAAACAACATTAAAAATAACCACAATAAAATAATACAAATTAAATAACGATACAGCATAACTACTTACATTGTATTGGGCACCATAAGTAATCTAGAGATGGTTTAAAGTCACAGGGGAATGTGCATAGGTTATATTCAAGTACTATACCTTTTTTTTGAGATGGAGTCTCCCTCTGTCCACCAGGCTGGAGTGCAGTGACACGATCTCAGCTCACTGCAACCTCCACCTCCTGGGTTCAAGCGATTCTCCTGCCTCAGCCTCCCGAGTAGGTGGGATTACAGGCAACTGCCACCATGCCTGGCTAATTTTTGTATTTTTAGTAGGGATGGGAGTTTCAGCATATTGGCCAGGCTGGTCTCGAACTCCTGACCTTGTGATCCACCCACCTAGGCCTCTCAAAGTGCTGGGATTACAGGCATGGGCCACTGCGCCTGGCCAAGTACTACACCATTTTATATCAGGGACTTGATCACCTGTGGATTTTAGTAATCTGGGAGGTCCTGGAACCAACCAAGCCCCCGCAGATACCGAGAGACACCTGCACTCAACCCTGCCATTGAGGCACAAAATGTGCCATAGACAATCTGTAAACAAGTGGGCATGGCCATTGGCCAACATAACTTTATTCATAGACACTTTACTTTGATTTTATATTATTATTTTTTTTTTGAGATGGAGTTTCGCTCTTGTTACCCAGGCTGGAGTGCAATGGCGCGATCTTGGCTCACCGCAACCTCCACCTCCTGGGTACAGGCAATTCTCCTGCCTCAGCCTCCTGAGTAGCTGGGATTACGGGCACGCGCCACTGTGCCCAGCTAATTTTTTGTATTTCTAGTAGAGACGGGGTTTCACCATGTTGACCAGGAGGGTCTCGATCTCTTGACCTCGTGATCCACTCACCTCAGCCTCCCAAAGTGCTTGGATTACAGGCATGAGCCACCACGCCTGGCCTGATTTTATGTTATTATTATTTAGAGACAAGGTCTTGCTCTTGGTAAAATAAAAACTTCAGCTGGATTAAATTTAAAGGAGTTTAACTGAGCAATGAATGATTCATGAATTGGGCAGCCTCAGAGTATGCTCAGATGCTCCAGCCCAGCCATGTGGTAGGTGATTTATAGACAGAAAAAGGAAAGCAAGGTGCAGAAAATGGGAATGAGGTACAGAAACAGCTGGATTGGTTACAGCTCAGCGTTTGCCTCATTTGAACACAGTTCAAACAGTTGGCTACATTTGATTGGCTAAAACTCGATGATCGGCACCCATGTAGGCTACACTCTGTTTACCTCTCCACCTTTTTGTTGTTGTTGAGGCAGAGTTTTGCTCTGTTGCCCAGGCTGGAGTTCAGTGGCATGGTCTCAGTTCAATGCAGCCTCCACCTTCCAGGTTAAGCCGATTCTTGTCCCTCTGTCTCTCGAGTAGCTGGGATTACAGGCACCCCGCCACCACACCCAACTAATTGTTATACTTTTAGAAGTGTCAGGGTTTTGCCATATCAGCCAGGCTGGCCTCCAACTGCTGGCCTCAGGTCATCCTTCTGCCTCAGCCTCCCAAAGTGCTGGGATTACAGGCGTGAGCCACCACACAGGGCCCCTGCTAAACATTTTAAAATGTAAAAACCATTCTTAGTCTGCAGGCAGTGGGCGTGGCCTAGAGGGATACAAGAAATATGAAAGTTGAAATTTTGGGTGTTAAAGTTGTCAACTGTTTCCTGGCTGACTAAAGACACTTCCCTTCTACCTTCAGCTTCCTTGTTAGTAAAATGGGAATAATTCTAAAATCGAAGCTCTAAAGTTAGGGGCTCAGTGGGGTTTGGAGGGGCAAGTTCTGTTGGAACAGTCATGAATTACATTTCAGAATATTAAGTGTCATGGATGCATTTCACCATCAGCCCCATCCCTCAGGCTGGAGCATGCATGGGTCTAAAGATGAATGTGTCCAGCCAAGTTGATGGCTCACGTCTGTAATCCCAGCACTTTGGGAGGCCAAGGCGGGTGGATCACTTGAGGCCAGGAGTTTGAGGCCAGCCTGGCCAACATAGCGAAATCCCATCTCTACTAAAAATACAAAAATTAGCTGGGTGTGGAGGTGCGCGCCTGTAATCCCAGCTACTTGGAGGCTGAGGCATGAGAATCACTTGAACCCGGGAGGCAGAGGTTGCAATGAATGGAGATCGCACCACTGCACTCCAGCCTGGATGACAGAGTGAGACTCCATCTCACAACAACAACAAGATGCACGTGTCTGATAGGGAACCTGGTGACATCCTGAAAAACTCAGGAGAGGGAAATGGAGTCACGGTTCGTTCAGGATCTTTGGGAGTGTTTTCCCAGTGTGAAACTCACTTGAAAGTAAAATCAAAACCAAACCATTTTCTTTCCAGTCTTTATGAAGGAATCGTTGATCGCCGTCGTCGATCTCCGTTTGGGCCCTTGATTCCCCACCTCTGCGTCTCCGTGTGTGTGTGTGTGTGTGTGTGTGTGTGTGTGTGTGTGTATGTGAAGTGGCCCCTGCGGATCGCTGCCTGGCCGTGTGTGCTCATGGCAGGTTGTAGTCCACCGGCCCGGTCTCCCCCGCCACAGCTGCTGGGAAGACCCTTCTAATGCCTGCACTTGAAAAGACATTCTCTCTAAACCATCCTCTTCCCTCCAACCCCCACACAAACGCAAATGATAATTGCGAAGCCAGGAACGCTCAAAGGGAACATTTGGTTTGGGTTTGCAACTCGGAAGACCCACAAATTCCAGGAAGAAACTAATAAAATATCAACCTCGAGTCTCACCACTGACTCAGACCTCTTTCCTCTGCAAGCCTGTGGGCCCCTGACTTGTACTCACGGCGCCCATTGTCATCAGCTGCTGTTGAATTTGAGGGGGCACAGAAGGCCATTTTAGGGAGCCACAGTCCCCAGGCAAGTTTGGGAACTCGTTCATCCTTCCGAATCTCTGCACACAGCCGTGTCCCGCTCCTTGGGCTGGGTTTTTCCCCTCCTGGCATGTTGAAGCTTGGCCCCAGATCCTGTATTTTACAATTTGTTGTTCTGTTTGGCCTTCGCTCCCACCCACCCTTGTTCTTGTTTTGTTCAATTTCCTTCCTCTCTTAGGCTGGAATTATTCCGGTAATCATGAGAGAAATAAGGTGCAGCATTTCAATCCGTCACCCCAGGGTTACCCATCCCCCCAACGGCAGTAGATCTGGTGACAACTGAGACACAGAGGAGCTGGCTGGTCTTTCCTGTGTCCTTTCCGAGTTCTACAAGAACTCTGGGTCTGAGTGGCATTTTCATTTATGTCCTTTCAATCCTGGGATGTATTTGCTTCTGACAAAGTTGATTAGCCTTGTTGAGAAGATGGCTGTGAGTGGATCCACTAGACATAAACTCCTCCAGGCTCCAAAGCATATCTTGTCCTTATTTCTCCCATCTCCCTGCAGTGCCTGAAATAAGATAGCATTCTGAGGTCATGTACTGGCTGAGTGGACAAATCCAGTTCTTTCACAGGTGAAATATTTCTTGGATTCCACCCTTATACTGCTCACCCCTGGCCCTCATTGTCTGTTCCTTGGGCCTGTATAATAATTTGGTATTTTGCCTTCCTATTCCTTCTGTTGTCTTCTCGGATGTTTCTGTCCATAACTTCCACGATCTGGCTTGTCAGTTTGATGGGGCTTCTGACATTTGCATCAGGGAGGCCTGATAGGCTGATCTTTCTGGACTGTATGAGGTGGTGACGCATTTCTCCATGTCCCTATTTTCAGTGTTATTCACAAGATCTGGCTCTGAGTAGGCGCACAGTGTGTGTTGGGTGAATGAGTGAATGAATGAATGAATGAAAAAGGAGAAACTTTTTTTTTTTTTTTTCGAGACAGCATCTTGCACTGTCACCTAGGCTGGAGTGAAGGGGCGTGGTCTTCTGCAACCTCCGCCTCCCCGATTCAAACAATTCTCCTGTCTCAGCCTCCTGAGTACCTGAGACTACAGATGTGCACCACCATACCTGGCTAATTTTTGTATTTTTAGTAGAGATGGGGTTTCATCATGTTGGTCAGGCTGTTCTCGAACTCCTGACCTCAAGTGATCCGCCTGCTTCGGCCTCCCAAAGTGCTGGAATTAGAGGTGTGAGCCACCATGCCCAGCTAAAAGTTCTTTAACTCTGCCTGCCTCTGGCTCTCTCTAATCCCAGCCAAGGTGATTTCTTCTTACTTCAAGCAAAATTGTCATGGTTCAGCATTTACCTACATTTACTGCAAAATCCTCCCCAAAAGAGAGGTCCAGAAGGGCTCCAGAGTCAAATGAGTTTGAGAAATGCTGTATATTCTGGCCAGGCACAGTGGCTCATGCCTGTAATCCCAAAACTTTGGGAGGCTGAGGCAGGCAGATCACTTGAGAGTTTGAGGCCAACCTGGCCAACATGGTGAAACACTGTCTCTCCTAAAAATACAAAAATTAGCCAGGCGTGGTGGCGCATACCTGCAGTCCCAGCTACTCAGGAGGCTGAGGGACGAGAATCATTTGAACCCAAGAGGCAGAAGTTGCAGTGAGCTCAGATCGTGCCACTCACTCTAGCCTGGGTGGCAGAGAGAGACTCCTTCTCAAAAAAAGAAAAAGGAAAAAAGAAAGAATGCAGTATATTCTTTCCATATTCAGAGAGTCACCACGTACTTTGTCATTTAAAGTTTCTGAGACATTCCACATTTAGAGACCTATTTCATTCTCTTTAATCCTGAATTTCCTAAACGCATTTGACCATGGAATATTTGCTTCTCAGAACGTCTTCCAGAACTAGTTTCCCAAGATTTGAGAGCTTAATATATATGCCTTGTATCCTTATTTATCACATATAATAACAATGCATGATGCTGCGGTAGAATTATCTTAGCCAGCAGCATTGAATGTATATTTAGGTCATCTCTAAGAATAAATGCTCAATCCATAAAAACATGCATTAGTAATGCAGGCGTGCACAGAAGTGGACATATTAAAATGACACAGAGGTCCGCATCAGTGCATTCTCACAGATCCCTGCAATGCAACAGCCACCAGTGGGTCTGTCCACCTGCTCATTCATTCATTCAACAAACACCATTCTGGGCACTGGGGATACAGCAATGAGCTAAGAAGACATAGTACATGAGCAGAAAGGGGCTTACTTTTTCTATGTGGATTCAAAGACAGACTGATAGAGGCCGGGTGCGATGGCTCATGCCTGTAATCCCAGCACTTTGGGAGACTGAGGCAGGTATACACTTGGGGTCAGGCGTTCGAGACCAGCCTGGCCAACATGGTGAAACCCTGTCCCTACTAAAAATACAAAAGCAATTGGCCGGGCATGGTGACATGCACACTTGTAATCCCAGCTAGTTGGGAGGCTGAGGTGGGTGAATCGCTTGAACCCGGGAAGTGGAGGTTGCAGTGAGCCTAGATCGAGCCATTGCACTCAAGCCTGGGCAACAGAGCAAGATTTCATCCCAATAAATAAATAAATAAATAAATAAACCAATAGAACCTGAATCCCAATGTATACTAGGAGAAGTGGGTCAACTCCCAGTGTCCTCATTCTTAAATTAAAGGAAACTGTTAGGATCTGTAAAGGTCCTTTCCTGCTTACAAATAGATTGCTCTGTGAAATAAAATTGTTTCTGCAGAGGCAGGGGCTTGCCATAGAGATGCTTATTGTATGGAAACAGTATCTTCTGGACCTAATATGTATAAATTCTAAAAATTTAAATATACAGCACTTCCATTATCTAATAAATGTACATATTCTTTTCTTGGGTGTTGAAATTTCATTTCTAACTGATCTTTAATTCATAGTGAAATAGAACAATTCAGCTTTAAAGCCCCTCCTCCACTGTAGGTTAATTACTGACTTTTGAGTCAAAGCTGAAATGTGCAAGGGTAGCAGAGCAGGGAGAGGTGAGGAGGGGCGCTATCAGCATCACTGGGTGTTAGGGACCTCTTTCAACAAACTCTTCTCCCCAGATCTGTCTGGGAGTGGGAAACATGGGGACTGGCTGGGTGAATGTTGAAAAAACTCCCAGGTGATTCCATTGACATCCTCTTTTCTGATTAAGAACTTCGAATCCACAGAGGGAAGAAATCATCGAATCACTCAGGATGGTCTCTGTGCAATTGTGCAATGCAGAGAGACATACATTGCCTGCAGGTGTCCACTTTGCAAACAGGACTTTGTTCCTATTGGATTTTCTTAAAGCAGGGCACCTGTGAGCTAGCCAGGGACTTGCAGACCCAGCTGCCCAGGTACCAAAGAGGAAGTGCCTGCTGCCCCGTTCCTGAACAGGCCAGGGAGCTTCTGGACATCTGCCCGCAGCCTGCACACCCATCTGAATAGCCTTGGCGGAGGAGGGGGAGGAGGAAGGACGGACAGCTCATCTGCGTGGAAGGCAGCAGGCGCAGATGTTTTCAGCAGCAGATGGCAGACTCCAGCAGAGCCCTCCACAGCCCTCCTGGCCCCCGCAAGGCAAGGGGAAAGGAGAGGGCGGGGGAGGCTGGCCGGGCTCCTCTGAGCTGCGGCCTCCAGCAGCACGCTCTACCACTGCCCGAATCGCATGCACAGCTGCTCTCTCCCTCCCAAGTATTGATTGTGGGCCCAGAGTCTAGAGGTATCTCAGAGGGCTCAGGCTGGCTGCGGGCTTGCTAGCGCTCCTGAACGATTGCAGCCCGGAGGCTGTGCTGCTGCGTTTCTCAACAGCCGCGGAGCGGGAGGATCTTGAGTTCCACTGGGCCACTACATAGGAAAGTGAGCAACTGTTCACAGGCCTCTGGGCCCGTAAGAACCCCAAATTGAGGCCCCTTCAGATCAGGGAGAGGAAAAAAGAGGCCCAAAAACAAAGCCTGGAAGGCCTGAGCATAGCAGAGGTCTTATCCTTACTCTCAAGGAGGGGTGCTATTTCCAGGCAGGAGAAACAATGGCGGGTGGGGGCAAGGGAGATTGAGGGGGTGGAGGGAACCCAAGGTGGTAGAGAGAAGAGGGAGAGGTAGAGGGGATGGCAGGCAACACCCACCCTGCTCCTGTGCTCACAGCGCAGCACCCCTTACCCATCCGCGTCTCTCTCTTAGTGATCTCTACTGTACCTCAGAATCCTGCTTAACCCAGCAATTCAGGAAGCCACTGTTGGTGAGCGGGGGTCAGCGTTGAAGAAGAAAAGCTGGTGAGATATTGGTCCTGGCTCTGACTCAATGGCCTCTCTGCCCCAGAGGGTGCCTTTCTCCTCTTGGGGCCTTAGTTGTCCCAGCTGGAAGAAACAAAGAAGCCACCACATCCTGAGTACTAGTTATCTCTTCCTCTTGGGCTGAACTTTGAAGAGGCTGGGGAGAAGCGGCAGGGTGTCCTGTAAGAGGCAGACACAGCATCGGGAATTCACCACTCCCGGGTTCTTTCCCGGCCTTAGTGAAGAGACTGGGAAACGTGGGAAATTGTCAACACTGAACAGAAAGTGAAGGTGCGGGGTGGAGGTGCCCAGCTTCCTAAATAACTGGGGAAATGATAGTGGCAATGATAAATGCAACCCCTGCAGAACGCTTGTGCCGGCCAGCCTGCTCTGAGCACTCAGCACAAGCTAGCTCATGCACTGACCCTCACGACCACCCTGGAACATAACCTGGGCCATCATCCTGGTCCGCACCCCGCAGAGCTGACTCTCAGCCAGGTTCACTTATCCACACAGCTGCTCCTTCTCCAACTACTCTAGGGCTAGGATTAGTTCCCAGGCAACCTGGATTCAAATTCCATGCTCCTAACTACTATACCATGCTACAAAAGAAGACAACAAAAATCATGTTTCACCCACCAGACGGACAACAAATGACAGGTTTGATCTTATCAAGGGCTGGTGAGGCTGGGGTGTGGCATCTGCATCTAATTACCTCTAAGGAGGACCAGAGGGCTAGGATTGGGGTAGAGGCCAGGGGCACTTCCATCTCATCCTTGTTCATTTTGTGATGTAGAAAATAGTCATGCATTACTTGTGTTAATTACTCATTGAGAGAGAGAAGTGGTCAGCAAAAGAGAACCAGGCTGGGCACTGCGGCTCACACCTGTAATCCCAGGGAGGTCAAAGCAGGAGGATTGCTCAAGGCCAGGAGTTTGAGACCAGACGGGGCAACACAGCAAGACCTCATTTATTAAAAAAAAAAAAATTTAGCCAGTCATGGTGATGCACACCTGTAGTCCCCACTACTTGGGAGGCTGAGGATGGAGGATCACTTGAGCCCAGGAGTTTGAGGCTAAAGTGAGCTATGATCACGCCACTGCATGCAAGCCTGGGTGACATAGCGAGACCCTGTCTCAAAAAAAAAAACAATTAATAAGAGTAAATTAAAATGTTAAAAAAGAAAAAAAGGAGAACCAAAGAGAAATGGAGAGGGTTCTCAGAATCTAGAACTCTGACAATTGCCTTTGGACGTGACCTCTTGGTTGCAAAAACTCTGAGGGCTATGTCTTGGGGAAGTTCATTCTTTTATTTTTAATTTTAATTTTTATTTATTTATTTATTTTCGAGACAGAGTTTTCGCTTTTCTTGCCCAGGCTGGAGTGCAGTGGTGCAATCTCGGCTCACCACAACCTCCACCTCCAAGGTTCAAGTGATTCTCCTGCCTCAGCCTCCCCAGTAGCTGGGGTCACAGGAGTATGCCACCACGGCCAGCTAATTTTGTATTTTTAGTAGAGATGGGGTTTTACCATGTTGGCCAGGCTGGTCTCGAACTCCTGACCTCAGGTGATCTGCCCACCTTGGTCTCCCGAAGTGCTGGGATTACAGGCATGAGCCACCGTGCCGGAAGTTCATTCTTTTATTCAGCTCACACGTGTTTCCTGAGGACCCCTCAGTTCCAGGCTCTGTGCTGGGCTCTTTGTTCTTTCCAAGTGAAGGAGTGTGCCCACTTTTGTCCCCAGTCTGAGTGCCTCTGTGCCAATAAGGTCATGGCAACAGGGAGGAGCCAGTTCACCCCTCAGCTCCAATTTGCAATGGGCTGTTCCCCCAGGGCAGCTGCTGCAACAACATTTACTTTGTACAGCGGCCAAGAGAGAGAGTGAGAGAGAAAGAGAGAGAGAGAGTGTGAGCCTACCCCATTCCAAAATGTTTCTGACAAAATCTGGCACTCCTGGTTCTAATCAAAATACTGAACTTTGGAACAAATTAACATTCCACAGCCCTCGCAGGGAAGGAGAATTCAGCTGAGACAACTTCGGTTCACAACCACAACAAAAATAGCTTCTCCCGGGGAAGACACATTCTGCTAACAAGGTCACTTTTGTTTTGCTTCCCCTGCCATCTGGTTGAGCGCCACCAGGGGCTGGCTTTGGTACCAGCGTATTCTGCGGAGAGGGGATGGGGAGCCGGGTGGCGCTGCAGAAGGCTTCTCAGCTTCCTGGCAAGGGGCACCAGCACAAAGTTACCTTCAGACATCCCCAGAAAGCGTGCGGGCAGATGGAGCCCCGGTTTCACCCAGCCCGACTCTCATGTGCTCCTCGCCTGCAGAAGGTGAGACACCAGCAGAAAGCAACAAGCAGGTGGGCGTCAGAGCAGAGCAAGAAGGCGACAGAATGAGAAAGCTATCTTCGTCTTGCAAAACGTTCCAGAACTCCACCTAACTCACTCCAGAGAGTTGGGAGTCTGAGTTCCAGAAGGGCAACAAAGAAGCATGAGTTTGTTTCTTGTTTTTATTTTTCTTCTTTTTAAAATTCCCCTCCTTTCTTTCTACCTTCAAGGTTCAGCTTCTTTCAATCATTGATCCTGTGACCTCGGGGACACTTAGTTCCCTACCCTGGCCTCAACGTTTGCATCTGTAGAATGGGAATCACTTGCAAGGACCTTATGTAGTGATGGGGAAGGTGAAAAGAGAGCAAATGTGGGACTACAGGCACCCACCACCACGCCCGGCTAATTTTTGTAGTTGGGGTTTCACTATGTTGGCCAGACTGGTAACAGTAGTTATTAATGGAAAATCTGTGGCCCTAAGGGTCAACAAATTCCTAGAAACCTTCTCTCTTATCCCCAAATACCAAATGTCTAGCAGCTACAAAAAACTAGCCAGGCGTGGTGGTGTGCGCCTATGTCCCAGCTACTCAGGAGGCTGCGGTGAGAAGACTGCTTCAGCCCCGGAGGCTGAGGTTGCAGTAAGCCATGATTTCACCACTGCACTCCAGCCTGGGTGAGATTGGCTAGGGGTCCCTGGCTGAGATTCCTGAGAGGAAACATACTAGAATTCTGTGCTTTGTAGCCTATGAGGGCTTTCATGTGGGCAATGTAGCAAGATCCCTGACAGCTGTCTACAGAGCTTTCACATGACTTGAATGGTCTGCCCACGGTTACTTCAATCGTCAGGTAGAGAGCTGGGAATTGAACACAGACATTTTCGTTACAAAGACACTGTGGCTTCTATTATACCAGTGATTTTCCATCTTTTAAGATAGGATGGAAAGCCATGAATATACACACAAAAGATCAGATATCGTTTTAAGGGGTTCATGACCTCCTGGAGCCATGCGGGGGTCCCAGAGGTCTCAGAATATTTGCTGGGGGCTGAAGAGGGGTGAAAACAAAACTTTCAGCAAAATAAAGGAGAAATCCTTAAAATAATCAAACACCTCTGTACTCCTAAGTCAAGGAGAATACGCTCATTAGAACGCCTCTTAAGGATTTTACTAGTCCTCGAAAAGACCAATGAGGAAACTGATGGTAAGGTGAGTTGAACCTGGTCTAGGAGGCGTTGGAAGAGGGGTGAGGGAGGACACAGGCCCTGGGACTCTGCAGTTGGGGTGAGAGATGGAATCCCAGGGCTTCACAGTGGCAGGTGGTCTCTGGATCAGAGCCAAGCGATGACCTCTGGCATAGGATTTCAGAGGTCTGGGAGAGCCCAGGGGCCATTTGCAAGTGTTCATTAGTGTTTACCCCCAGCTGGGAACATTGCAGGGTGGTCACTGCTCACCTCCGTTTACCGCTCACTTTTCTGATTCTTCCCCTCGCTACCTGCCGTGGAGACTTCCCAGGTCTCAGACTAACTTTCCTTACTTAAAGGTCATCCAGAAATTGCCTGCTTTTCCATGTTCACCTGACAGCTATTTATGAAGCCTTAATTCTATTTCAGGCAATATGCTCAGCTCTTTGTATACAGCAGAGAGGAAAAGAGCTCTTGACCTCAAACAGCTTTCAATCTAGTAGGGAGCTAAACACTTGACACGAGTCCCTCCAAGAATGGGGTAGGGGTACATTTGGGGCAGAGGTTGACATTCCAGGAAGAAAAATACAGGCCACGGGAACCCCTTGTTATAGGAAACAATGCTGGTACCTCCAGAATGTTCTGCATCAGTGATACAGAAAATGCATTATTTGTCTTGAAGTTAAGTTTAAACCAGCACTTTATATGACTTTGAGGAAATGAGAATTGCCTACATCAAAGAAGGGGTGTGAGGGCTGATGGAGATTGGGGCTGATGGCTCAAGCCTGTGCCTGGCTCTTTCTGGGCTCTGTGGCAGGAGATCACGTGCCAGGGGAGAACAAGCAGCACCAGATGAGAGAAGCAGCATCGAGGTCAAATCTGGAGAACAGAATTTCCAAAATAGGTTTCATGGGTGGCCTGCATCAGGATCCCCACAGGGGGTTGTTGCAATTGCAGATGCTTGGACCCATCTCAACCTTGCTTAATCAGCATCTCGGGGCAGGAGCTTGGAATCTGCCTGATGAGCAAGCATCCTAGGGGATTATTTTATGCAGGGGGCTTTGGAGTCTGGATTTTATCCTAAATGCACATTGAGGCCAGTGAAGAGTTTGGAAGAGAGGAATAACACTGTCCATCTTTCCAGATGCTTTGCATCTTGTGTAGGAGTTGAGAGGTGTGGGATAATGGGGGAGGTGGATAGACCACTTAGATGGCCAGGGCAGAAGTCTACATGGCCTTGGCCAGGTGCAGTGGCTCATGCCTATAATCCCAGCATTTGAGGAGGGCAAACCACTTGAGTTCAGGAGTTCAAGACCAGCCTGGCCAACATGGTGAAACCCTGCCTCTACTAAAAACACAAAAATTAGCTGGACGTGGTGGCACACGCCTGTGATCTCAGCTACTTGGGCGGCTGAGGCATGAGAATGACTTGAACCCAGGAGGTGGAGGTTGCAGTGAGCTGAGATTGTGCCACTGTACTCCAGCCTCGGCGACAGAGCAAGACTCCATCTCAAAAACAACAACAACAACAACAACAACAACAAAAACCTCCCATGGCCTCCCTCATCCCTTTGCTTTCCTGGGTAGACTTGCCCCATATTTCATTCACTGGCCCCAGGGTAGCAGGGTCATCGGCACCTTCATGCAGTCGCTTCCTGGGCCTCAGAGGGCGTTGACATTGACTGCAGATGGCCTACATCTCTGGCTCCACATTAGCCATTGCTGCTTTGACACCTCAGGCAGTTGCTCACGTCAACCCGGCAGTCGGTTACCCAAGGAGTCCTCACCCCATCATCTCCACCTGTCTCGAGCAGATGGAGATGGTTCCAATCGCATGAGAGGAGGCATGAAGCTCTCTGTAGCTTTCAAGTTTCCTTCTGGCCCTATGAGCTCAGCTTAGGTGGCTGGGAGCCCATCAGGTTCCCCACCCTGGGTTCAGGCGAACCCACTAGAGCCCCCCTCCCCCCGACACATGTAAAGATAGGCAAGGAGGGGCCCTGTGTCTCTACCCTTCCCAATCAAAGGCTGTGCTCAGTGCCTCTTGGTTCAGGCTGGCGCTTACCAAAACCAGCCTCCCCTCTTTCAGCCCAATGACAAATGTTTCAGTCTCTGCATTTTGAAAGAGAGGCCGACAGAGAGAGAATGTCTCGAATCACAATCAGGGTTTCCTGCTGCAGAGCACACAAGATGAGAATTGATCTCAAACCTTTTAGTGCCATCATTTACTGAGTGCTGGAATGACATACACATAAGTCAGCAAAGGAAAGCTCGGAATCCTGTTCCCTAGCTGCATGTCAACAGAACACCAGGATAATGTGAGCCTCTCAGATGCAGAGAGACTCAAGCCACCACCCAGCCAAACCTCCAATAATATCAAAAACTTTGCCCCTGCCTTCATTATTCTGCTAATCAGCTTTGAGATATAATTTACAAGCAATAATCTGCAGCCATTTTAAGGGTACCATTTGATGTTTTGATGAATGTATACACCCAAGGAACCATCACTGCAATTAAAGTATAGAATATTTCTTTTTTTCCTTTATTTGATTTCTTTTCTTTTTTGAGAGAGAGTCTTGATCTGTCACCCACGCTGGAGTGCAGTGGCGTGATCTCGGCTCACTGCAATCTCTGCCTCCCAGGTTCAAGCTATATTCCTGCCTCAGCCTCCTGAGTAGCTGGGATTACAGGCACGCACTACCACACCAATCTAATTTTTGTATTTTTAGCAGAAACGGGATTTCACCGTGTTGGCCAGACTGGTCTCGAACTCCTGACCCCAAGTGATCTGCCCCTCCTTGACCTCCCAAAGTGCTGGGATTACAGGCGTGAGCCACCACTCTGGGCCAGGTATAGGATATTTCTATTACCCCCCAGAATTCCTTCAAGTCCCTTTAAGGTCAATCTCCCTTTCACTTCTGACCTCAGGCAATCACTGATCTGCTGTCTGTCACTCTAGTTTTGTATTTTCTAATTCATCATATAGCGGACTCATACAGTATCTATTCCTGTGTCTGGCTTCTTTCACTGATTTTTAAGCTTCACCTGCTCTGTTTCGTGCATCAGTAGTTCACTTGCTTTTACTGTTGAGCAGTATTCTACACTTTGTTTAACCATGCACTTATTGATGGACGTTTGGGTTGTTTCCAGGTTTTGAATGTCATGACTAAAGCTGCTATAAACATTTGTGTATAAGTCTTTGTGTGAACATATGTTTTCATTTATCTTGGGTAAATATCTAAGAGTAATTGGATTGTATGGTAGGTGTATATTTCCTTTAGAAGAAACTGCCAGGCCGGGCACAGTGGCTCATGCCTGTAATCCCAGCACTTTGGGAGAGAGAGGCAGGAGGATGGCTTGAGCCTATAGTGAGATCCCATCTCTACAAAAAAAAAAAAAAGAAAAAAAATACAAAAATTAGCCCAACGTGGTGGCATGTGGCTGTAGTACCAGCTACTTGGGAAGCCGAGGCAGGAGGATTGCTTGAGTCCAGGAGGTTGAGGCTGCAGTGAGCTATGATCATGCCACTGCACTCCAGCCTAGGCAACAGAGTGAGACTCAGTCTCAAAAAGAGAAAAGAGAAAAGAAAAAAAAGATCAGTACTTTGCAGAAAATACCAAACCAAAATGCCATTTTAAAAGACGTGTATTTTTTCTTGTAGAATGTAAGCTCCTCAAGGGCAGGGACAATGTTTTCTGTATGTTCTATTGTGCCCAGTACACTGTAAATGCTCAATAAATATTGATGATGGGAGGCAGTGAGTCTTGATGATAAGGGTGAGAAACTGAAACCGCAAACACTGTTTTGTTGCTTGTTTTATTATGACCTCCAATTAAATTGTGAAATGTTGGCCCTTTTGGATAATTGTCCCAAATATTACATTCAAATAAAAGTGCAATGGAGAAAAAAAGAAACTGCCAGATTTTTTCCCAAAGTGGATGCGTCGTTTTTATGTTTCCACTAACTATGCAAGAGAGTTCCAGTTGCTTCACATCCTAGGTGATACACGCTAGTCTTTGTAATTTTAGCCATTCTAATGAATGTGTGGTGGTATCTTATTGTGGTTATTATTTTCATTTTCTTGGTGCCAATTGTTGAGCACTTTTTAATGTGCTTGTTGGCCATCCATATGTCTTCTTTTAGGATTGTCTTTTCCAAGCTTTTATCCATTAAAAAAAAAATTAGGTTGTGGTATGGTTTAGCTGTGTCCCCACCCAAATGTCACCTTGAATTCCCACATGTTGTGGGAGGGACCCAGTGGGAAGTAACTGGATCATGGGGGCAGGTCTTTTCCATGGTGTTTGTGGAAATCTTTCATGGTGTTCATGGGAACTTTTCTATGGTGTTCATGGGGGCAGGCAATACCATCAGGTCTCATGACATCTGATGGTATTATGGGGGGAGTTTCCTTGCACAAGCTCATTTTTCTTTCCTTGCTGCCATCCATGTAAGATGTGACTTGCTCCTCCTCGCCTTCTGTCATGATTGTGAGGCCTTCCCAGCCACATGGAACTGTAAGTCCATTAAATTTCTTTCTTTTTAAATTGCCCTATCTTGGGTATGTCTTTATCAGCAGCATGAAAGCAGATTAATACAGGTTGTTTGTCTTATGGTTTGTCATATATCATCTCATCTGGTGATAAGTTCACCAAAATCTAAGAAGATTGTCAGATCGTCTCTGAGCCTGGGGCTTCATTTTTATTACCTTTTACAAAGCCTAGTGTAAAATTATGTTTTGTTTTGTTTTTTTTTGTGACGGAGTTTCGCTCTTGTTACCCAGGCTGGGGCGCAATGGTGCGATCTCGGCTCACCGCAACCTCCGCCTCCTGGGTTCAGGCAATTCTTCTGCCTCAGCCTCCTAAGTAGCTGGGATTACAGGCACACGCCACCATGACCAGCTAATTTTTTGTATTTTTAGTAGAGACGGGGTTTCACCATGTTGACCAGGATGGTCTCAATCTCTTGACCTCGTGATCCACCTGCCTCGGCCTCCCAAAGTGCTGGGATTACAGGAGTGAGCCACCGCGCCCGGCCAAAATTATGTTTTTTATGGCTCATCTTAGAAATCTTTGCCTACCTAAGATCACAAAGATTTCCTCTTATGTTTTCTTCTAGAAGTTTTATAGTTCTAGCTTTTACAGTTAAGTCTAGAATCTTCTAGTTCATTTTTGTGTATGGCATGTGGTAAGGTTTGATGTTTATTTTTTCCCATGTGGATACTCAGTTGTCCATCACCATTGACTGCAAAACATTTCTTTCCTCATTGAATTATCTTGATGAGTTTATCAAAAATAAATTGGCCATGTTCTTATAGGTATATTTCTGAATACTTTGTTCTGTTTCATTGATCTACATTTTCAATTAGTCTTTCAGGTTTTTATCTTTAGGGTTTTGTTTCTTTTGGTCTTTTAAACCAATACTACACTGCTAGGTAAGTTAACCAATTTTGTCCTTCTTTTTTAAAAACTGGTATGTCTCACCTAGATATTTGCATTTCCACATACATTTTTTAGGATCAGCTTGTTAATTTGTACAAAATGCCCTGCAAGAATTTTGGCGTCTTGTAGAATTTGATTCCACCCATCCACGAACATGGTCATTCTGTTTATCATAGTCTTTTAATATTTCTTTTAGCAATATTTTGTAAAGCTTTTGTGTGCATTCTGTTAAATTTCTTTTTTTTTTTGATATTGTAAGTAAATTATATTTTTTATTTGTTTCCAGTTATTTGTTGCTTTCTCTTCCTCCTCTTTCTCCTTCTTTTTAGTGATCTCTTTCTTTCTGGGTGTAAACTGATAATAAATATACCTACTCATCCTTCACACTCGTCATACCTAAGGTTCAAATAGATCTCAGCTGACAGTTTAAAGTTTGGCATTGATGCTTCCCTTCAACTTGTCTCTTGTCTTAGACTTTGCAGCTATTCTTGGCATGGTTCTCAGCTCACCAAACCATCTCTCTTCTATCACTTTCCTCCTTTCTCACAGCTCCCACAATCACACCTCCTCCAGGAAGCCATGAAGGGATGTGACAGGTTCTCCAGTATCTTTTCAGTATTCTCTTCCTTTACCCACCACCACACTGATCACCATTATCCAATTGTTTGATCAAACAGAATAAATTTTAGGTTGTGTAACTCCCTTATGCCCGTATGAGTTTGCACAGGATGACTTGATAAACTACCACAAACTGGGTGGCTTGTAACACCAGAAATAAAATCTCTCATAGTGCTGGAGGCCAGAAGTCTGCAATCAAGGCGTTGGGACAGGGCCATGTTCTTTCTGACACCAGGAGGGGAGAATCCTTCCTCACCCCTTCCAGCTTCTGGTGGCTCCTGGCAAACCTTGGCATTTTTTTTTTTTTTTTTTTGGGACAGAGTTTTCACTTGTTGCCCAGGCTGAAGTGCAATGGCTTGATCTCGGCTCATTACAGCCTCTGCCTCCTGGGTTCAAGCGATTCTCCTGCCTCAGCCTCCCAAGTAGCTGGAATTACAGGCATCACCACCACACCTGGCTAATTTCGTATTTTTAGTAGAGATAGGATTTCTCCATGTTGGTTAGGTTGGACTTGAACTCCTGTCCTCAGGTGATCCGCCGGCCTCCGGCTTCCAAAGTGCTGGGATTACAGGCATGAGCCAGCATGCCCAGCCCTTTTTTTTCTTTTTTTTTTTTGAGACAGAGTATCACTCTGCTGCCAAGGCTGAAATGCAGTGGCATGACCTTGGCTCACTGCAGCCTCTGCCTCCCAGGTTCAAGCAATTCTCCTGCCTCATCCTCCTCAGTACCTAGGACTATAGGCGCACACCATCATGCCAGGCTAATTTTTGTGGTTTTAGTACAGACAAGGTTTCACCATGTTGGCCAGGCTGGTCTCAAACTCCTGACCTCAGGTGATCTTCATGACCTCAAATGATCCTCCCACTTTGCCTCCCAAAGTGCTGGGATTCCAGGCATGAGCTACCGCACCCGACCCAAACCTTGGCATTCTTGGTGTGCAGCTGCAGCTCCGCCATTCTTGACTCCCTCTGTACATGGCATCCTTCCTGCATGTCTCTGTGTTCTCCTTTTTATAAAGACGCTGACCATATTGGATTAAGGGCCACCTACTCCAGCATGAGCTCATCTTTGCTAATTACATCTGCACGAACATATTTCCAAATCCCTCACATACTGGGGATGAGGATTTTAACATATCTTTGGGGGGATACAATTCAAC